CGCCCCGGCAGGCGGGCCCCGACAGCCCGGGGGGACAGGCGCAGCGCGGCCCACGGACCGTCTGCTGGCACGGGACGCCCGCCGGACACTGCAGCTCCCGGCAGGAGCGCGCCACCCGCTCGCAACGCGGGCCCCAGAACGGCTGGAGATGGGATCCGGTTGGGGAAAGAGAGGGGAGGGAGGGATTTGGAAGGGAGGAGAAGAGAGAGAGGGGAGGATAGGGGGTCAAGGCTTGAGAAGGTTGAGCCTCCAATCTCCCCGGTCCCGCCCAACCTCTCCCTTGCCCACTGGAGGCCCCACCTTGCAGAAAAGCCCCGCCTTCCCCAGGAGGCCAGGTCTCCAAACCCCAGTGCCTCCCTGCCCCCAAAGACACACACACTCTCTCTCTCTCCAGGTATTTTCAGTATTTCTCAGGAACCCCCTTCCCTTCCACCTCTTCTCCCCTAAAGCCACGCCCTCCAGCGAGGCCATGCTCGCACTCCTCCCCCAGAGACACCGATGTGACCTACCGGAATGCAGTGACAGGTAAATGTCAGCACACCCCCAGGGCCTGGGCTGGGACGGCACTGGCCTCCGTGCTGGCACGGCTGGGACTCGCAGGGAGACAGGACAGTCTGACAGCGGGGACCTAGACAAGCAGGAGCTAGCGGATCAGCCACAGCGTAGGCACACAGGCAGGGTCCCAGGGCAGCCGCCTCTCCCATGCTTACCTGTGAAGCCTGCTCGGCAAATGCAGCGGAAGCCCCCACCTAGGTCCTGCAGACAATCCCGAGTGTGTGCATCATGGCAGGCACCCGGGTGACACTCATTGATGTCCGCCTCACAGCGCAAGCCAGTGTACCCGGGGGGGCAGGTGCAGCGGAAGCCACCCACCAGGTCCACACAGGTACCATTGTGCAGGCACCGGGGGCCCTGGTCCAGGGGTGGGCCTGGGCCACAGTCGTCCTCATTAATCTCACAGAGCACGCCTTGGGGAAGGGAGGATCGGGGAGCAGTCAGGAGGGGATGGAGACCCAGCCTCCCACCCTGTGCCCCAACCCTGGCCCTGGCATACCCAGTGTTCCTGGGGGGCAGGAGCAGAGATAGCGGGCCACAAGGTCAATGCAGAAGCCACCGTGCTGGCAGGGCTGGGAGGCACACTCGTCTACATCATCCTCACAGTTGTCCCCCGTGTAGCCAGCTGGACACTGCAGTGATGTGAGACAGGGACCTCTAAGCCCAGAGGGACACCGATACGCCCCATGAAGACACAGAGATCACAGGACAAAAGGACATACAGTCTCATCCAACACACAGAGGACTGCCCTGTGTGCAGAAACACACACACACAAGTACAAGGAAACACACCCACTCACAGAGGACACCCAGACACAGAGGGCTGGAGACACAGCCAGTGCAAAGGGACACACACATACAAATGCACAGGAGAACCATCCAGAGGCCCAGATGTTCCCCATGCACATACAACCAGAGATGCACTCGGACACCAGCACGTGCATTCATACCCCAAAGACGGGGCGCACAGAGGGATAGATACATCCAGGAAACAACCAAAGACAGAGGCACACCCAGACACACAGAAAGTCCCTCAGATCAACCAAGAAATACACCCACAAGATTATACCCAGAGACACAAAAGCAAAAACCCAGACATGCCTAGAGAGACACACCCACACCAGGTCACAGATACATGGCAATGTGTGTGCAGACACACCCAGCATGACAAGCTCCCCTCTCCCCGACTCTGGGTGCCCCTTACCTCACACACATAACCCCCCACGTAGCCTCGGCAGGTGCCCCCATGTTGGCAGGGCTGGGCCAAGCAGGGGTCCACCTCCTGCTCACAGTGGCTGCCCGTGCGGCCTTCTGGGCACACGCAGTAGTGGGAATTGTCCTTATCCACACACCGCCCACCTGTCTGACACAGCTCTTCCAGCCGTACCCCTGCGCAGAGGAGAGCCGGATCAGGCACGGGTTTGCCCCTTCCTGCCTGCATCGCTCCCAGCATCACCGAACATCCCTGAGGCCATCAGTCACCAGGGTCTCACGCACACCCCATCGGGTTGTCATACAGCCACCCCCCAAACTGGCACGGGCTCAGTCACCGACACATACCCACACCTCTGCTGCGCGCACTAGCTCGGTCACACGTGGCATCACCGACATCATCCCGCTACCTCGTGGTGACCAAGGCATACACCATCCTGGCCCTGACCAGCTGTGCCACGTTACACATCCACCAACACTGAGCCACACACCCCATCCCGCCCGTACGCTCTGCCATACCTTACTGTATTCACATTAGCAAGGTGTGCACACACCCCCTCCGGAGCCCCACACCCCGCCTCTGTGCTCCCCCTCACCGAGCTGGGCTGCGGCCTCCCTGCAGGGCACACTCCGGATGTCACAGAGGCGGCCGCTCCACCCCGGAGGGCAAAGGCAGTAGAAGGTGGCCCCGGTCGGGGCGCAGCGACCCCCGTTCTGACAGGGCGCGCGGCTGCACCAGTCTACCAGCGTCTGGAGGGCAAGTTGTCAGCGTCAGCACTCGAGGACCCCCGAGGAGCCGCACCCCAGCTTCTCCAGGGTCTCGGGCAGGCCCCTACCCCAGAACAGCCCTCCAAATTCCTCCTCGGGGCCCCCGGTGACCCCGCCCACCTGGCACTGCGTGCCAGTGAAGCCCTCCGGGCAGGTGCAGCGGAAGCCAGGGTGGGCAGCAGTGCAGACGCCCCCGTGCAGACAGGGCCGAGAGAGGCAGGGGTCGGCCTCGTGCTGGCAGTGTGCGCCAGTGTAGCCGGGGCGGCACTGGCATCTGAACGAGCTCACGCCGTCCACGCAGGTCCCGCCATGGAAGCAGGAGCTGGAGGGGAAGGGAGGGAGGGGTCAGGCTCCGCCCCCATGCAGGCCCCGCCTTCCTGGCCCCTCCCCGCGTGGAGAGGGCACTCTTCTCTGACCCCTACCTGCCACAAGAAGCCGCAGCCCCAGCAGAGGTCCCGCCCCTTCCTCTCCCTTAGCCTCAATTTACCAAGTACTTCAGACCTAAGGTGGGAGACACGTGGAGGCCCTGCCCTGGCCTGGCCTCACTCCCTTAGGAACCAGCATCTCTAAGGTGACCTCCAAACAGATGCCCTGACCCTTCCCGGACACTGCTCCATCACGAATCAGAGCTGTGAGGTGGGTGCCACGCCGAGAACCCCCTTCCTGTCCCCACCCCTTCTCATGTTCCACACCCCATCCGATGCCAGGGTCCCTGAGCTCCCGGTAGAGGCCCCACACACCTGGGGCTGCAGTCCGGTAGGTCCTGCTCACAGTGGAAACCTCCATAACCAGGTGGGCACGTGCAGGTAAAGGAGGCCACGTGGTCGGTGCAGGTGCCCGGGCCACAGGGGCTGCTGAGACACTCGTCCACATCTCGGGCACAACGGGGACCAGCGAAGCCAGGGAGGCAGGAGCACGAAAAGGAGCCCACGCCATCCTGACAGGAGCCACCATTCAGGCAGGGGTCTAAGGTCCAAAGGGAGAAGGTCTGGTCATACCCCTCACCCCCCATCAGCCCAACCTGACCCAACCATGCCTTTCATAGCAGGGAATCAGGAGGAAACCAGGCTTAACTGGGAGGGGCACGTTTGATCAGAGGGATCAAATTCTGTCCCCTCTGTGGCCTCATCTCCTCCCGTATCTGGAAACCTCACCTATGTGCAAGGAGGAGGGAGATAGGGGAGCCAAAAGGTCCCTTTGAGCTGCCAAGCACATGCTGCTATTGTGTCTTTTTAATTGCTGGGCACAGCACAGAAGGCCTCCTCCACACCTATGCCCGCCAGTATGGTGGCCATTGGCCATGTGTGGCCACTGGCCATGTGTGGCCACTAAGCCCTTGACATGTGGCTGGCCCAAATTGGGAGGTGCTATAAGTGTAAAATAAACCCTCGATTTCTGATTTTGAAGATTCAGCATGAAAAAAAATGAATGTAAAATATCTCAATAATTTTATATTGATTACATGTCAAGATAACATTTTTATATATTAGTTTAAATAAAAAAAATTATTAAATTTAATATCTTTTTTTTTTTTTTTTTTTTTACTTTTTCAACGTGGCTACTAGAAAAATTTTAAGTATATATGTGGCTTGCGTTACTGGTCTATTAGTGCTCCGGGAGGACTCACTAGGGGCCTATTATGTCATACTTGACACATAATGTTAACTTGCTTGTTGCCAGAGGCAGTCTACGGGCTTCAGACAGACCTGTGCTCCAATCCCACCTCATCCCTCTTGCTTCACGACCTTGGGCAAGTCACCTAACCTCTTTGGGGCCTCTGCTTTCAAGAATAAAATGGGAAAAGTTAAGAGAAGTATGAAGATGAAAGCTCAGTTCTGGGTACACAGTATGGGCTTGAGGAACATGTTCTCTAGAGCAGCACCCCCGGGGGCTCCCCTGAACTCACTGGGGTCACAGTCATCGATGTCCTGATCACAGGAAGGGCCACTATACCCCCTATGGCAGGTACAGCTGAAACTCCCCTCCAGGTTGGTGCAGGTACCGTGGGAGCCACAGGGTGAGGGGCCAGCACATTCATCCACATCCTGCTGGCATCGTGGGCCTGGGGATGGGGAGCAAGGTAACATCTAGGGTTAGAGGGTGCAGGGTAGGGCCTGAGAGTACCTGGCACTCAGGAAGAACCTGAGGTGGGTAAGAAGGCTGAGGTGGGTGAATACAAGATATGCGGTCATTTGCCTCTGGGTGTTTTGCACATGCGGTTCCCAAACTGCCTTCCCCTTATTTAAGTGGGTAGTGAATGCGTTCTGATGAGGTCTGCCCCTCCAGGAAGCTGTCCCCAAACCCTCCGCCTGAGTCCTAGCTTCCCCACCACCATATCCGTTCGTCTTCTCCAGAACTGACCACACAGGCTGCAGGTGTCCGTGTCCAGCTCGGTCCCTTCCTAAAAAGAAGCCCCCTCAAAAGACAGAGCCAAGGGTACGTTTCCCTCTGGGTCCCCAGAACCACCCAGTATGCAGCGGGGTGCAGAGGAGGTGAAGGAGAGGAGGAGGAGGAAGGAGCAAGTGGTGTACCTTGCCAGCCGGGGGGGCAGGAGCAGACAGGCAGCTGGCCCGGGGCAGACTCACAGTGGCCCCCGTGCTCACAGGGGTTCGGGGCACAGGGGGATGGCAGCTCACACTGACGGCCTGTGGTGGGCAGGCAGAGTGAGACAGTCTTGACAGATTCCTTGTCCCCATCTCCCTCCAGGGTCCCCACCTTGATACCCACCTCCAAAGCTCCTGGGGCGGGGGGGGGTGGGCGGCAGAGGGAAAGGGGAAAAAAAAAGGCAAATGTAGAGGAGGGAGAGTGGAGCAGAAAGGAAATGAGCAGGAAGAAGTGGGGAGGGAGAGCCTGGGGTGGGAACGTGGGAACACACACCCTGGACACCAGGGGGACAGGTACAGTGGAAGCCCATTCCATCGCTGGTGCAGGTGCCGCCGGACTGGCAGGGCTGCGATTCACAGGCATCTCGAGCAAGGCTCTGGCTGCATCGGGGACCACTCCAGCCAGGCTCACACACACAGCGGAACCTGGAGGGGAAGGCAGTCAGGGAATGCCCGTGGGCAGGGAGGCAGCAGGGGGTCAGGGGCTGGGGAGGAGCCTCACCCTCCGGGTGCATCGTGGCAGACACCATGACTGCAAGGTTCTTGGGCACAGGGATGGCTCGGGGGGAGGCAGAGTGGGGGCAGGGAGCCGGGAGGGCAGAGGCAGTGGAAGCCATTTTCCCCATCCATACAGGAACCTCCATCACCGCACGGACTGGACGCACACTCGTTGATCTCCACGTTGCAAAGGGGCCCTGGAGAGCACGAAGGCAACTTCATCCCAGGACAAGGGCGATGGTGCCAACGGGGAAAGGCAACCTTGCTGAATTTAGCACGGCCCTTGAGCAAGAACAACCTCATTTCATAACACATCAGCTCTTGTACAAATTAAGACAGCCACCTCCTCAACCCAGAGCTGCCTTGCCCCAGATCATACTCGTCCCCAAACTTACATGAAGTCACCTTCATTTTCACCAAGGATTACTTTGGCCCCCTGCAGAAACACCCCCATCCCTGAGACTGGACACCCTCGTGTGTGTTCCAAGATAACCTTGAGCTGATATGGGGACAACCTCAGGCCAGTGGGAGAGAGCACAACCGCAGGGCTAAGTGTGGACAATCTCATTGGACAAGCGAATGCAAAGAGAGGGGCAAACTCAGCCAAGAATAGGGTGATTTCACCCTCACCCTCTCACCCAATAAAGACCCTCTCCCCATGGCAGCCACTTGCCAACCTGTGAAGCCAGGCTGGCAGACACAGTCATAGCGGTTGATGCCATCCCGGCAGACTCCAAAGGTGCAGGGGTTGCTGGCACAGTCATCAATGTTCACCTCGCAGTTCACTCCTGGGGAGGGGGAACACCGCAGGGGAAGCCACCAGTGAGCCCCACCAGGAGCACCATTCCCAAGCCCTCTGTGCCCTTCCAGATGTACTGTTTCTGCCCCAGCCCAGCCTCCAGCCCCACCTGTGGTGCCAGGAGGGCAGCGGCAGAGATATTTGTCCACCAAGTCTAGACATTTGCCCCCGTGGCGGCAGGGCTGGCTGCGGCACTCGTCCACCTGGCTCTCACAGCGCGTGCCTGTGTATCCCGGGGCGCAGGCGCACGAGAAGCTGGCAATGCCGTCCACACAGCGCCCATGGTGGCACGGGTCCGGGGAGCAGTCGTCCACGTTGCGCTCACACAGCGTGCCCTCGAAGCCTGGAGGACCAAAGGGTCAGGCTCCACCCACGTGCCAAGGTCCTGCCCACAGCCGTGGCCTCAGCCCAATCCTGGCCCAGCTCTACCTCAGGCCCCGCCCATCTAGCCACCAGGAGGTGGGCTCAATTCAGGCCCCGCCCCCAACTCCATCCAGCCACAAGCTCCAAGACTCGCCCCTGGCCAAGACACTTGCACAGATAAATCCCATCCCCAACCGTAACCCCGCCTCCAATCCTTACAGTATCAGCCCTGTTCCGCCTCACTCTCCACTCTGGACTGGAAATGGGGACACATGGGAAGTGCCTGGAGATAGAGGGATTTGGACACGCCCCCTCTACCAAGGTGCACCCTCTCTGCCAGACCCACTGGCCCCACCCCTAGTCTTACCACTGCTTACATCCATCATTGGCTCCCTCCCATGGCTCTGTCATTGGCTCTACTCCTGCCTTGCTGCAGCCCCGCCCCCAAATTTTCCCCAAGGCTGTTATTTGCCTTCCCCCTCCCTTGCCCCTTCTCCAGACTCTTGCTGGCCTGTCACTGGCCCTCTCTCACCCTCTGCACAGCGGCATTCGTAGCCATCGGGCTGGTCCACGCACTTGGCTCCATTCCGGCAGGGTGTGCTTGCGCACTCATCCACATCCAGCTGACACATGGCCCCACTGAAGCCTTAGGGCGGGGAGTGGGATGGGCAGAGGCCCGGATAGGGTCAGAGAAGTCACCCCCTGCCAGCCCTGCCTTGTTTGGGTGGGATGAGTGGGATGATCATTAGTTTTTTGTATGTGTGTTTTTTTGTCTGTTTGTGTTTTAAATAGGCTCCATGCCCAGCGTGGAGCCCAACGCAGGGCTTGAAATCACAACCCTGAGATCAAGACCTGAGCTGAGATCAAGAATCAGATGCTTAACCAACTGAGCCACCCAGGCGCCCCAACTTAGTTTTAAATTAATTTCAATATCTTTCATAGTATGTGGTTTCTGTTATGACAGTTATCCACTAGCATGGTCTTATAGGCTCCCCTAGAGCCTTTGCCTCTGCAGGGACCTGTCTTTTTCAGGCTCTCTGGCCCAGCGTCCTCACCTGAGGGGCAGGTGCAGCTGAAGCCGTTGACTCTGTCCTTGCAGACCCCACCATTGACACACGGGCTGCTTTGACACTCATCCATGTCCACCTCACAATAGGTGCCTGTAAAGCCTAGGGAGTAAGGGAGGAGGATTAGAGCAGTGGGGCTTAGCCGCTTCTATAAAGGGAGAGCAAATGGGAAGGTACTCCCTTTCCCACCCATAGACAGCTCCCCTGAGCCTTGCTTGGCCTTGCCCCCCACCCACCAGCCCAATCCCAGATTCAGCTTTTGGCCTCATGAGTGGCCTCATCCTCACCCCGCTGTGGATCCAACTGGTCCAAGGCTTATGTGATTCCATATGGGCCTTGCCTTCAGACCACCCTCCTTCCCTCTGTAGTCCTCACACTCTACCAGGTCCTCAGCTACCAGCCCCAGGGCCCACTATAACCTTGGGCCCAGCCTCAATCCCACCCCAGCGTTAGGGAAAGATGGTCTGCAGGCTCCACCTTGACCCACTGCAAGCTCCTGGTCCCACCCTCATATCATCTCCCCCCGCCCCAGTGGGTCCTAAGGCACAGACTCCACTCCCAGCCCATCTGAGGTTCTACAGACTCCATTTGACCATGGCCCCAGCCTCGCACAAAGATTCTGCTATGGCCCAGCCTCCACCTCGTCTCAGGGTCCCGTTCCAGACACAGTTTCACCCAGAAGGGAGGTGGGGGTGTGTGGCCTGCAGGCTTTCCTTGCCTCGCCCCCAGCTTCGGCTCCGCCCCAGCCTCGCCCACTGCCCCGGCCACACCCACCACGCACCTGCCATGCAGATGCAGGTGAACTGGCCTATGCGGTCGAGGCACGTGGCCTGGTTGCGGCAGGGCCCGGATAGGCACTCGTTGACGTCGGTCTCGCAGCGCGGGCCAGTGTAGCCACGGCCGCACTGGCACAGGAACGAGCCCTGTGTGTTCACGCACCGGCCCAGGTGCTCACATGGGTTGGCACCTGCAGGAGTGGGCATCGCCAGTGTGAGTGTGGGTGGCTAAGGACCTGCCTCTCCCCTCCCTCCCAACTCTCGGACCGCACCCCCCTCACCAATGGAGCACTCATCCACATCCTGGTCACATGCCCCGCCGGTGAAGCCTGGTGGACAGGTGCAGATGGCCCGGCCATTCACGGGGTTCGTGTCGCAGATAGCATCCTCGTGACAGGGGTTGCTGACGCAGGCGTCATCCAGATGACACAGAAGCCCTGAAAAGGGGTAGGCAGAGTCCAAGGGTGGACCCTCCAGCTCTGCCCAAATGTCCCACATGCCCCACATATCGTTTTGTGTTTTGTCTTTATTAACCTGCAGTGCATTTAGTAGCTATCTTCCCCAACAATTTATGATGAGAACTGTCAAACGTACTGCAAAGTTGATTCATACGCCCACTACCTAGATTCAACTCTTGTTAAGCTTTACCTATTTCTTGGGGCGCCTGGGTGGCTCAGTCGGTTAAGCGACTGTCTTCGGCTCAGGTCATGATCCTGGAGTCCCGGGATCAAGTCCCGCATCGGGCTCCCTGCTCGGCGGGGAGCCTGCTTCTCCCTCTGACCCTCCCCCCTCTCATGTGCTCTCTCTCTCTCTCATTCTGTCTCAAATAAATAAATAAAATCTTTAAAAAAAAAAAAAGCTTTACCTATTTTTTATTTTTCTGAACCATTTGTAAATGAGTTGGGAACATCCACATATTGTTTTAAAATCTGTAGACTCCTTTTCTGATTATAGACCCTCAAGCCTTTCCTTCTGCAGTATCCTCTGCCTGACATGCCCTGCCCTCCATAGCCAAGTCCCCCTCCCAAACACTTTCCCTGACCTCTGCCACTTGCAGAGGTCCCGTCTCCTTCTCAGTCACAGGATAGCTCTCTGTTCCCATGGCTACTGCCCTGGACTGTGGGCCAGCCTCTGCTTAGGCCCCTCCCAGGCTCACCCTGCACCCCAAACCTGGCCTCCAGCATAATCATTCTAACACTCGAGTCAGACCCCATCCCTGCCCCCACTGCAGAACCATCGACAGCGCCCTGCTGCCTATAAGGAAAACAGCCACTCACCAGTCTTGCCCATGGGACAGGCACAGTAGAACGAGGCCACACGGTCATGGCAGGTGGCCCCATGGAAGCACACAGCCGTGGCGCAGTCATCGATATTCTGACTGCAGCTCTCGCCTGTCCAGCCATTGACACACACACAGCTGTGGCCACCCAGAGTGTTGAAGCAGGTGCCCCCATTGTGGCAAGCGTTGGGCTGCAGCTGACATTCGTCCACGTCCTCCGTGCAGAATTGGCCTGTGGCACACAGACGCACCAGTCCACACCCGCTGCTTGCCCACCCAGGGCCTGCCACCTGGCTGTCGCCAGCCCTGCTGCTCACCTGTCCATTCAGGAGGGCACTGGCAGTTGTAGGTGTTGACGCCATCCACACATGTCCCCCCATTTAGACATCGGTGTCCTGGACAGTCGTCCACATTCACTTCACAGTTCTGGCCCTCGAACCCTAGCATGGGAGGGGGACGCAAAGATGGTCACTGCCAGGCTGGCCAGCGGTCCCTGCACTCCTGCCACCTCCCCAGGGCACAGCTCCCTCACCAGGAAGGCAGGCGCAGTCATAGGTGAGATCGCCACTCTGTCTACATGTGCCCCCGTTACGGCACGGCGAGGGGGCGCAGGGCACCGCAGCGTTCTCACACAGTGGCCCCGTGTAGCCAGCTGGGCACTGGCAGCGGAAGGAACCAGGCGTGTTGAGGCAGGTGCCACCATGGCGGCAGGGCCCTCCCACCCGGCACTCATCCACATCGCTTCGGCAGCTGCGGCCCTGGTAGCCAGGTGGGCAGGAGCAGATGTAGCGGCCATCGGGCCCCACCGAGCAGCGGGCACCATGGGTACAGGGACTGCTGAGGCAGGGGTCCGGCAGGGAGCAGTCGGGACCTAGAGGGACCAGGAGAGGGTGAGCTTGGGCTGTTCACACCCTTGCCTGTCTTGGGCTCCCCTCCAGATCGTCCCTTACCTCGGAAGCCACGGGGGCAGCGGCAGGAGAACCGGGCGGTGCCTGCCACCACGGAGCTCTGGCAGACGCCCCGGCCAGCACAGGGGCCCGAATGGCAGGGGTCTTCCAGCTGGCACCGCTCGCCCACCCATCCTGGTGGGCACCTGTGGGCAGAGATAGCTTAGTACAGGGCAGTACCAGGGTGGTACAGGGCAGGTGCATCCCAGACACACACGTGACAGGCAAGAAACACACAAGCAAACAGCCCAACAAACAGGCACACCCGCTCATTCGTGCAACCAATATTCACTGAGTACCTACTATGTTTTTAGCAATAGGAATACAGTCGCAAATACATTAAAAGTCATCCCCACCCTCTTTATGCTCACAGCCAAGTTGGGCAAAGAGAAGATACACTAATAATGAATTATATAACATGCCAGCATGGGGCGGCAAGGGCCATGAAGAGTTCAGTGGGTTTTGAGTGATGGCCCCAGAAAAGAAATGCCCATGTCCCAGAACCTGTGATTCTGACCTTATTTGGAAAAAGAGTCTTTGCGGATGTAACTAAGTGACAGATAGCAAGATGAGATCATCCTGAATTTTCCAAATGGGCCCCTAAATCCATTGGCAGAGGGAGATTTGGGAGAAAGAGGAGAAGGCCATGTGGAAGACAGAAGCAGACCCTGGAGTGCTTCCCCCACAAGGCAAGGAGTGCCTGGAGCTGCCAGGAGGTGGAAGAGGCCACTGGGGACAGCATGGCTGCCAACACCTGGATTTCAGACTTCTGGCCCCCAGAACTGTGAGAATAAATTTCTGTTGTTGTAAACCACCCAGTTTTTGATGGTTTGTTATGGTAGCCAGGAAACTAGGACACAGGATGAGGGAGATGAGCAAGGAAGAAAGGCAAACAGGATATTTTCAGACTGAAGAAGGTGAGGGAGGGGGCCATGGGGCTGTGTGAGGAAGAGCCTTCCAGGCAGAGGGAATTAGCAAATGCAAAGTCTCAGACTCCAGAAGACAACCACTCAGGCACACACAGACAGACAGACTCAGAAACATACACAGATAACACAGCGGGACAGCCAATTCGACATACTGGCCTGGCGAACATTCAGACCCAAATCCACAGCGCAGTTCACAGATGGGTAGCTCTCATGTGGACAGACAGGGTAACTCTCACAAATCCTCCACTCCTTTCCTGGAGGCACATACAACCCTTCCTGCCACCGGGAGGAGGAGGTGGAGAGTCCTTCGGCCTGCAGACCCTTCCCCAAACCCACCAAGGCAACCTTGAGTAGGAGGGAAATAAGGCGGTTGGCCTTGAGACTGGAAACCTCCAGAGAGACACTGGCGGGGTGGGAGGGAAGGGTTTGGACTGGCAAGAGGGTCCAAGGCCCCGCCCCCGACGCTGCCCACCCCTCGCGCGGTTCCTCCCTCTGGCTCGCCCCAGCCGCTTGGGGCTAACCTCAGGCAACTGACTCAGTCCCTAGCGTCACCCACAAAATCCCCCCACCACCCCGGCCCCCAGCAAAACAGGCCAGGACACGGCAGGGCAGGGGTGCCCACGGTGTTAAGAAAGGAAGGCCAGGCTCCCAGCCCACTCCCCAAAGACCCGCTGGGTGAGGACGTCCGTCACGACTGCGCGCCGAGAGGGGGCGCGCTGCGCCGGGCGCCGGGGACTGCGGGTCCCACCGCCAGGCAGGGCGCGGCCGCGCG